AGTAAAAATTATTTTTAGGATTTATAGAATTTAAAGATTATGATTCATTTTATTTATTAGATTTGGTAGAAAACAATATTTAATCTCATCCTTCTTTGTCTCAAAAGCTTTATTCTATATTTCTTTTCATTTTGATGAGATGTTCATGCTATCTTTTGTTTATTTTTAGTTAATAATGATTAAATTTTTCTTATGAACAAGTACATCTTCACATTTTCTTACAATAGTTATTTATCTAAGTTTCTTTTTTGGCCAAAAAATATTAACTTTTTTTTCAAATAATCATGCAAAACTCTGTCTTTATACAATCATTGAGAATTTAATTTTTTTTTGCATCATTTATTCATATTGCATATAATATTTCTATCCTTTTATTATTATTATTATTATTATTTCTTTCTTATATAAAATTTACATGTGTAGTTCTATATATGATATTATATTCTTCTACGAAATTATTTCTGTCGTATGTTTTGATATTTGCATTTCCACATCAATACAATATTATGACTTTGAATACCATACAAACACAACAATTTTTTTATGATATTCCAAGTCATGATACCAATCAAATGTAAATAGAAATAAATTTAACATATACGCAAAAATTCTTGAACGAAATACAACTGAATTATTATGGATATAAGATTTGTAGTTTGGTATATGATTAATATTGAGATTCTAAACTGAAATTTATAGTGATATTTTTGTTACAAAACCAAACTTGTAAGTTTGTGTACTGGTCAAAGTTCGTAAAAAAAATGATTATTATTTAAAGTTATAGTAGTGCAACTCTATACAGGTTTCTTTATGTCACGCGTTCTAACACAGTATCAGAATTTGCAGATGAGGAACTACTTTTTTTTTACTGGAGCATAATGATTGAGATATAACTTTTAAAAAATACAGAATGTTCGGTGGGAGGTCTATTTTGATAAGACTATATTTCCAATGAGCAAGTTTGTTCAATTATTTTTCTAAGAACTGATATAGATATTCATCTTTGACTAAAAGTAACCATATAAATGAAACACCCAGTTTAATTTTACTTCAAAATATGAAACGCATCTTCAAATAAAATAAATGTAAGCTTAACATATTAATGTGGTATATGACAATAGAAATACAACTGCAATTTTATCAGGAAAGTTGTTTATATGGAAATGAGAGTTCGGCTTATGCAATAACACAAATTACGTCAAACAAATCCCCGCTAAATAATTAATCAGCAAAGTGATAAGTGAATGAATATACATTACGATAAAAATAAGGAAGCTCTATAATATATATGACACATAGGAATATCTATAACGAAAGATAGCTTATGTGTTAGATAGATACTCATAATAAATTAAAAACAAATAATAGACACAGTGTGAAAACATACTGAGGAAAAAATGACTAATACATGACGCACTATAATACACTGAAAAATTGGGAACAAATCGGAGAACATTATTCATACTAAACAGATATAAAAATAACTGAAAGTGATTAGAACTGAAAATTCTTCATGGTTTTTATTAAGATGCGACTAATTATATATATTAGAGAAGAAAATATTCAAATGAATACCTTAGGAATGTAATTTTTAATGTTAGCATGAGACACCATGCCCTGCTAATGTAGAATATATAGAAACTTTGGTCGCAACATTGCAGTCTTTTTATCTAATACCTGTCTTTAGATTTCATTTTTATTTTTATCTTTTAATCTATAATGTTGTTAGAGTAATAATAAAAGAATTTCAGATTTATATTAATGAAGCTACTTATTTAACCCTAGTACTACCAACCTGGCTCATTTTTGACCCATACACATAAATTTTAAAATGCACTGGAAATATTTTGTTATTTCCTGCTTTCCGGAAGCAACTGTCATTTCTTACGAATTCATATATGTTGTTGAATTTAAAAAGAAATTCATTTGTTGTTTTATATCATTATAAGCCTTCGGTACAATGCCATGCCTTCAATATACAACAAACATATAACAAGAAAGGAGAACATGTTAAATTTTTAATCCATAATCCAATGACTCATCCACTATTCTAACTGGATATTTCCAATCCATTAAAAGGCATTTTTTCGAATGATTTCGAACCATCCAGTTAGAATGGTAGGCAAATTGAACGATGTTCGATTTATCAAACTTCCAGGGACAAAAAAACTTCAACTAAATGTTATAATGGTTCCGATTTGTTTGCAACGAGCATTCTGTAAAACGCATTTTTTTGTATTACTTGTTCTAAATAAAGAAAGAGTATCATTTTGAATAATTTTTTTATCAGATCGAATATGAAAACAGCATATTTTATTAGGGTACTGATGCAAGAGTAAAAAAATCAGTTTGTAAAAACATCTGTTGTCAGTGTAGTACTTAAAGCATGGTAGCACTAGGGTTAAATATTACTTTACAACGTTTATCAGTCTCAAATACAACTACTAATTTCATTCTTCAAAAATAACTTCCTTCCTTTCCTCGATATTAATTCCTATCTTATTAATATAAGATATTAATAATGCAAGTATCAAGTAGAACGTTTTTCCTTTTCTATTTTTTAAATACTTAGATAGGATTTGTAATTTGTTACAAGAATATGTTTATTAAAAGAATTTTCAAGATGTTTCTTTTAAATAAAATTTACAACAAATAATGAAAATTAAAAAGAAGAATTTTTACATATTTTTCTATTTAGGAAATTTGTTCGGTTGTTTTATTAAAAACCAGTCTTCTTAGCATATTTCTTTTTTTTTCTAAGAACTCGTAAAGGCAATTCATCCACTGAGAATAAAGAACATGCGCCTGATAGCACGTATTAGTACTTATTATAAGATGCAAACCTTAGTCTAAGTGAGCAAAACATGTTTCCGACCTGGTGAAAAAAAAAAGAAATATCCAAAGAAAACTAGTCTTAAAGAAAATTGAACAAATTTCTACTATGGAAAAAATATAAAATTTTTCTTTTTAATTTAGATTATTTGTTGTAAGGTTTATTTCAAAGAAATGTTTGAAAAATTCTTGTGTTATTCAACAAACTCTATTTAACTATGTAAAAGTAGGAGAGAAAAAATGCTTTGTTCCATATTTACGTCATTTACCCATGTTATTATTCAAGAAAAGTCCACGCAGTCTATAAAAAGAAATTTTAATATTTGATTTACATATATCTTTTCCTTTGAATATCATTAAGTAATTTATTTTATTCAGAAAATTTCATAGCTAACACATACAGATATATATATATACATATCTATATCATTTTTCAGCAAATATTGTGTTGATTATGTTGAATGAGGCAAGAAGGCCATAAGACGATAGTTGTAAGCAACAATCATAGGAAACAAGGTCGAGCTAAATATATTGTCATGGTATGAAAAGAAACTTGTAATATGAAATATATCTTAATACTAGTATTATTTTGAAAGTACCAATGGTTACAAACGGAATTAGAAATAAGATCAATAACAAAAAAGTGAATACAGAAGTCTCATTAACTGAAAATGATAACGATGTTGCATCAAGAGAAAATAATGAAATACTCTGAGGGTAACATGATTTATGTCGAAGAATGTGATTCTTTTATTACGACAGTTTGATGAACAATACTCTAAGGTAACATTATGATAAAATCATTTGAGCTTAACTAGAATAAAAACAAACAAATAATGTTGACTACATCGTTTGCTTCTTTCTTCAATATATATATATTCTTTTTTTTCTTTTGTTTCCTTTATTCTTTATTATCTGATTCTAACATGGGAAAGAAAAGCAAATGTGTTCAAGTTAAAGAAGGTATCATTATGAAAGAGATTGATTTGTGTTGATTTGTCGAAAGGAGGTCGAGAAGATAGAGAAAGAGAATGAAGATGTTTCAAAAAAGCCTAATCAATCATGTTAAGAAAACTATTTTGATATAATCTTGTTTTGTATGGTAAGTGTAAGACATATTGTTCTTTACAAAAAATCTGTAACATAAAATTCAAAAAAATAAAGAAAATCACCTACGCTAGTCAAAGATGATGATGATCGATCGAAAATAAATCTGAATAATAATAATAATAAAATGTTGCATGTTCTCAGATTAAGCAACACGTTTTATTATACGTCCACATGACATTTATATAATTCATTCGATGAGTATTTTTTTTTTTTCGTATTTTCTTGATATGATTGTAATCATTACAAATATCATTTGTAAGTATTCTTTTACTGCATGCACATGTCTTCTTTTTTTTTAAATAAGAATTTTATGGCCTATTTAATGAATATTATTGTGTACAAAAAAATGATTAGGTTCTTCCTTTTTTTGTTATTTTCGATGAACATATTGCTTTCTATAGGTCTATTAAATCTTATTATTAACGATGCTGCTTTTTTTCTTGCATACGTGTTTGGAAGACGTTGAAGAAACAAATTTAGAAAAATGTCTATCTGCAAAGTGTTTGACAAAGGAAGAATTAGTATAATAATCCCATTGATTATTTCCATGCTTATAAGATTTTCTAGTTTCTTCAAAATTTAAGTTTTTGTTTATTTCAATAGAAATAAAAAATAAGATGATACTTTTCATTAATTATGATTTAAATATCTCTAATTTTATTTTTTAATGTCTTAAAACAAAGATGAATTATTTGATATTAATAATTTTGAAGAATAACAAAAATAGAACAAAAAAAAAATGAGAATAACAGAAAGAGAGACACAGAGAAAGAGAAAGTGAGAGAGGAAAATGGCGTAGCAAAGAAATTTTTTCATATAAATGATACACTTACACTAGAAAAGAAAAAAAAGAAAATAACAAAAAACAGCAGACTTAGAATCTGGCTTTGTAGTTAGTATATATGTCTTTCGACCAGCAACCAAAACAGATTAAAGGGCTTTTATTTATATGATATTGATAGTAGAAAACAAGGAAATATCTATAATTTTCTTAGAAACTATTTATTTTTAGAATAATATTTTTATTAATTGGTAATTCAATTGATCTTTTATTAAATATGTCTATTTTATATCGTGTGATACCATTAATACTTTTTCTTCTTGTCTATGTTGTTGGTCTTATTGGTAATGGACTTTTAATATGTAAGCATATTAAATATTGTTTAAATAAAAGAATTTCTTTTTTCTTGTTTTTGTATCAATTTAGTTATTGTATTTCGTCAAAAAAATTTACGAACAGTACCGAATTTACTTGTTGTTAGTTTGGCATTGGGAGATTTTTTATTTGTTTTATTTTGTGTACCATTTGGAGCTGTTGCTTATTCATTAGAATATTATCCATTTTCAACATTTTATTGTCGTTTTGAAAATTTTATTATTAATCTTTCACTTGGTGTTTCTGTTTTTTCTTTATTAGCATTAAGTGCTGATCGTTATAAAATAATTTCCAAACCATTTTCAAGTCATGCTAATGATCCGGCGAATAAATTAAAAACAGTTGTTATATCTATTTGGCTTTTATCCATTTTTCTTGCTCTACCAGAAACAATGTATAGTGGTGAGTTATTACATATAAAACGAGAGAAAGATAGTTAGTAGAACGAATCGATCAAAGATCATTTTATCAAACTCTTGAAAACATATTCATTTTTCTAAGATGAGCTAAGTAATACACTTGAATTAATTGCAAGAAATCTCCAAAAAATATGTATGTTTTAATTGTATCTATTCTTATAGGTCTTATTACAGAAACGTATAATCAAACAAATAACAAAACCATTAAATTAATTTATTGTTGGAGTCCAAATGAAAGTCATTTACTTTCTAATCATACATTTATGATCAGTCGACAAATTATACGTCTTATTATTTATTACATAATGCCACTTATATTTGTTTCCATATTTTACACACTTATTGCAAAGCATTTATTTCAAGCCAAAACTGCTATTTTAATACCCATGTCAACTCAACCATTTGTGAACGAAGCATCTAATACAAAAAGAGGACAAATAAATATTAAATCAACAAAATCGATATCCAATAATGCGCATTTACATAATCATACTATTCAAGAACAAAGACATCATAATGAAATAATTAATAATAATTATAAAAAAAATCTTTCAAAACATTCAATAACACTTGAGAATGAAGAATTAACGAGCACGTATGAATCATCTCCTGCGTCATTACGAACAACATCTTTATTATCATCGTCCTTAACAGATAAAGTACGGCGTAATAGAGAATTTCTTTATACTAATTCAGCTATAAATAATAATAATAATAATAATAATAATATGGCTATGCATACATTATATCGAGATGTTAAAATACGAAAACAATTACGAGCACGACATAAAGTTGCTAAAACTGTCCTTTTTTTATGCATTGTCTTTTTTATATGTTGGTTACCGAAGCAAATTCATGATTTATATTGGTAAGTAAAATAATATAAAAGAATTTTTAATGATTTTTTTAAAAAGGTTCATTGGTGTAATTGTGTATTCTGCACATTGGAATCACTTTTGGCAATTTAATAAAACATTAGCACTTATTTTTTCTTATACTTACTCATGTATCAATCCATTTGCACTTTATGTTCTTTCAACAACATTCCGTCATTTTTATAAACGTTATTTATTCTTTTGGACGAATAGATCATGTTGTTGTTCGAAAGGTGATTTTGTTAATCAAACACAACGACATCGTACTGGTGATATGATGACAATCAGTGAATATCAACGTCAATCATCTGCAAATAATGCTTCAAATGTTTATTATGATTTAAATCGAATAAAAAATTCAAATTTTTCTCAACAACAACAACAACAACAAAATTCTACAAAAATGAATCGATATATGCCTACCGATGTGTCATTAACGGGAAATGGAATTCAACTTAATGAAAATCTTGATCAATCAATTAATATAAATGCGAGTTGAACAACTTGTTAGCAGCAATTTTTTGTTGAACTTATGCCGGTGATCATTTAAAACATCTGTTTTTGAACATAATCATCATCCTAGTGATATATATATCTATATATATATTTATTTGTGTGTGTTTGTATGTGTACTTATCTTGTTTTAGTTTGTTGTCTCTTGGGTAAGTGCTAGTATCCATTGTTTGGAATAGATCTAGAATGAAAAATTGCTTATTCTAAAAGTTCCGAAGTATGTCAATCATAAAGATAAATGGATCGAGATCATAAATTAACATATGGAATAATTTACATAATAAATTAATAAGATCCATATATAAATAAAAATAAATATTTTTCGTTATTATTATTAATTCTATGGTCTATTTAAAGTTATATTTTGTTGTCTATTGTATCATTTTATCTATAAATAACTATAACACAGAATCTAATTATATTATTTTAATTATTTTAAGTTAACATATTTACACGACATAAAAATAGTGTAGAATTATATTCTGTTACGCTGTTTAAGTTGGATTGATAAAAGACACGCCAGGAAATATATAACATGCTCTTAAGTGTAAGTTATGCACAATTCAAGGATAGTCATATCGATTTAGTAGTATAGTCGGTAGACTTCTTTTTGGATTTGTTATTGACATAGAACAGATGGAATTAGATTTTGGAGTGTTTATCGAGAAAAAAAAGAAAGATTTTGCTTGTTTATAAAAGAAAAGAGAATAAAAAATAATTAAATCGAACAATTAGAAAAGAAAAGTTATTAAGTATTGTATATATGTGCTATAAGGATATTAAATGAATGACGAATGGCAACATGATATAAACATGCTTTTCATTACACATGAAAGAAAAAGAAAATGAAAAAGATTAGAAAATATAAATTTCTAATTAGAAATGTCAGTGCCAAACTTAAAAGTAGTTGGTTAACAATCGGATAAGTTGATGACAGCATGTCTTGCTGATCTACAACATCAAACCACAGAAAGAGGAAACATGTGAATAGTGGTCCATATAAGATTGAATCGAGTTTAGTAAACTCATCAGAGTCACGAAAAAAATGATCATTTTTGATAGGACAATTCAGATTAATAATTTATGGAATAAGTTTTTTGTTTATATATATATATAGATTAGTATTGAAATGATGATTTCATTAAACGATGATCTAAGTTTATCGCACTGATCTTTACATTGTTAAATATGAAGAAAAAAAATGATATTAGAACATTATTTATTATTGAAAGATGGTCATTTCTCCTTGAATTATCTGTCTTTAAAACAGCAAAACTGATTCTAAAGCAGATAAGTTTAAAAAAATTCCTGTTAAAATATGATCTCTCTTACGACTCTGATGAGTTAATTACTAATTCCCATTAAATTATATCTGCAACAGTATCCTCTTTTTCCTTCTTTCTATTGTTGACATATGCAATGCATAAAAAGTGACTATTCTCGAGTGAATTTCATTTCTAATCGAATCTCTGTAGGTTTGATACCTGGATTAGTAATAATCATATTTAGTACTTAAGTTTATCATGTAAATAATGAAAATAAGCCTTCTAATAGAATTGATTCTGAACTTTTATTTAATCGTCTTTTTATTTCCGTGCGTGTTTTCTAGCATTTTTCATTTCATTCTATATATCCATAGTGACATTAGAATTGCGTGACAAGTAAAGTCACCGGGTATTGTGACTTATTTCCGAGATAATAAAAAGAAAAACAAATACTAATCATTGCTGGATACAAGCTATACTGTTTATATTGTCAAATTAAAAACAAGTAAAACGATGTAACTGATAATAAATAAAGTTAAAAGAATCTGAGGATGTCAAGATTTATACGCAGAGAAATTTAATAATTTTGATGAATATTTCTTTTCATATATGCTTGCTTGAATGATTGGATCTCTTCTTTGGTAAATGACATAGAATATTATATATTATTATAAATCGAAATTGATTTTGTTTATCTTCAAGAAAAAAGCCTTAACAGTGACATATGTTTTTGATGTTAATTTTCACAAAGAACTGTATATTGCTCATTCTCTTCTAACTACGCATTATTGATATAGAGGCATTTGAAATGACTGCATAATATCTCTATCATAATAAGTACATTATGTAATTTAATCAGAAAATTGACGTTTTGATGGATTGGATTTTTTTCCATTGATAATTTATTGATGACAGTACCTATAATTGCTGTTGACATTTTGTAGTATCACCAAAAAAAAGAAGAACAACTGAATTTATTGGTCAAATATATCTATAGATAATACTGCTTTTTTTTCATTAGAAAATAAAATCCTTTGATGAATTTTCACATTTATTTTTACAATTGATATATGAAAAATTTTGATAAAATTAAATTGAATGAAATTAAAATTTTAAATTTAAGAATTTCTACTAAAACGAACTCATCTAAATATGCTTTTCCAGTTAAATTAATATTTATTCATAACTCTTTTTAAGTATTGCATGTTGAAAAGTAAAATAAAAGGATTTTATCAATTAACTCACACAAGATTTACATTGCCTCTAAGAGATTCTCCACTCGAGCATTTTTAAGTTGACAAAGAAATGACGTGTGTATCATCATCCGATTGTGCCTCGACCGAGCTTTATAGAAATGAATCTTTTTTTTTTTCTATAATATTTCTTATGTAAAATTATAAATATTCTACTAAACGAATCCTACAAATATTAGGATGACTTTTCAATGATGGTCTGGTTTTATGCATCATTATCAATGATAAACTCTCTCTACTGAATGTTCTAATTGCATCATTATTGTGAGATATTCATGATTAAGGAGGACATAGAATATTAAGTAGAACTGATGGAGTATTAAGGGGACCCCCCCCCCTTTCCGGCGTTTTTAAGAAACGGCCGAACGAAAATTCCTGAAACTTGCAGGGTAGATAGACCTCGAGTAGTAGAGCAAAAGTTGTCATAGACACAAATTTGTCAGACGTCATCTTCATGGACTTCCAGAGACCCCAAGGTCAAAAACTTGCAAAAAGTTTTCCCCCCCCGCAAATCCACAAATTTCATCCGTTTGAGCTGAAATTTTTGCTGTGGGTAGACGGACCCAATCGGGGTGGGCGTTTTTTTTTTTTTTCAAAAATTCCAAATACTTCAGGCTGGAGAACCAAAATACTGAGCACCTTGCAAAATCTCTAGGTTTTTTGGATCCTAAAAATTTTGCGAAGCCTGCCAAACTTGATTGGTAGAAGGTATCCAAAACAAAAAAAAAACGCCCAACCCAAATCACTTGAAGTCTCACCAAAACAATTTTCAGCCCGATCGGACTTGAAATGGCGGAGAAAAAGGGGGAAAACTTCATTTTTTTGCTGAAAAAACTGATTTTGAGAAAAACGCAAAGAAATTTGTGTTTTTTTGGTTTTTTCAGCATATTTTGTGATTTTTTTCGAATTTTTTATATATAAGATGTGGTTTTTCAGTTCTCAAAATGTACTCAATGGATAGAGGGCATTCAAATCTATATACTAATCACAAAAAATGAAAAATGAAAAATGTGAAAATTTTGAGTCGGGAAAGGGGGGGGGTCCCCTTAAAGTATAATTTCAGGTGTGTCTATGTCATGTCACTGGCTGCTTAAATGCGAACTTTGAGTAATCATTGATGAAAACTTTTCTTCTGTCGGATTACTCATGTAATAGTATTTTCTACATGAGTAAAAGCCGATTTAAAATGAATGTTTTTCAATTTTTCATCGATCGTAATCAACATTTGACGACTTATAAATCACTGAATAATCAATGCTACAATAAATCAACTCAATTAAATCCCATTATCAAGTCATTGGTTCTTTTTTAACTGATATTCTTTGTCATAATCGATCGAGAAATTTCTCGATTATTAATTAGTATTAAATGAAAATAATTATTGAAAGGTTTTCTGATGTATTATATTTTACACGTTTGAAAGAAAATATCGCTGTTAACCAATAAAATCTAAGGTCTTTAGACATGTATTGAAACAAAAAAGGTTTCTTTTTATTACTATCTCAAATCATTTTTTACATAGCTTCTTTTATTGGTGACATTCAAACAGAATTGTCATTACAACAATATACTGGATGTCCCAAAATGATTGCAACATCATTTGTTTTGTATATTTCTGCACAGACAAATGATAGAATTTTCATTTTTTTTTTCAAAAGATGTGCCTTGAAAAACACTACAAAATCTGTATTAATAAATTCCTCTAGATATGTTCTCATAGTTTCTTTCATGGTCAACATGAAAAATATATATAATAGTACTACTTCCCATAGCCTTTAGCATAATAGAAATATTTAAAAGATATTTTTTGTTTTTCACGTATCTTATTGTGAGAAAATGATAAAATCTTGAATTTTTGTTTAAAAGATGCATCGTTGAAAACTTTATGAAAGATATGTAAATAAATTTCTATAGACATGCTTTAATGATTTTTCTAAATGGTTGAAAGTAATCATCTACGAGATGTTATTATTTTCAGATATATCGAATATGACAAAATTATTGCAAATTTTTCTTAAAGTAACTTTTTTCGAAACAACGTTTTATACAAAGATGGTAGAACTTCGCAAAGCGACTATGAAAATTTATACGTATCATGAATGTTCATCAATACTAGTCTTTTATTTATACTTTTTGATCGAAGAAATTCTTCGAAGAAACACATCAATAAATTGACGTACGTAATTCAAATCAATCTTTTTCTAAACTCTTCTAATTTCTCGTTCCAAATCATCTTTTCTTTGAACATTCTGATAGTGAATGTTCTTGTTAATACTGTCCAATATCGAATAATCGAGTGGATTTTGTTCCAGTGAGTTTTGAGATCATCGATCTTTCGGAATAAAGGACTTTAAATATCTTTTACACCAATCTTGTGATCTTTTACTGGTATGTGCAGTCACACCGTCTTGTTGCAAGCACCAATTGGAATGTCCAAATAATCGATCACTTTCAGTCTTGTAGAATAG